TAATTATATCAAATATAAATGGAAGACTGGGGTTGTGGCTCAGTGGTAGAGCACTTGCCTAGCATGAATGAGGCACTGGGTTAGATTCCCAGCACTACATTTTAAAAAAATAAATAAATAAACAAAAAATAAATATAAATGAGTTAAGCACTCTAATTAAAAACACAAATGTCAAGCCTGTTTTAAAAAAAAGACCCAACTTTATTCTGTTTTCAAGACTCTATTTTAAATATAATGATTTAAATATAATGATTTATTATATTTAAAATGTGTTTTAAATATAATAAATATAAATAATGACAAATGTGTACTATCCAAACACTATTATCAGACTGTTTAAAGCAAACGTAATAGCTTACAGTGGGATTTATAAAATAAGAGAAGATGACTAATCTATAATAGCAGAAATCTCAGTGATTGCCAGAGTCCTGAGGTCAGGATGTTGTTGACTGAAAAGAGACACAAAAAACTTTGGGGTGATAGAAATATTTTGTATTTTCATTGTGGTCACATGTATGTACACATCTGTCAAACTTGTAAAACTGCAAAAATGGTTGCACTAAAATTTATTTTTAAAAACAAAAAAAATGTTTATTTCAAAAATAAAATGAAACAAGAAAAGAAATTTGAAATATCCTGAACATTTTAGAAGTTAAATCTGAGGAAAAAGTAGTGAGTTAGATAGGTCTTTTTAATTGCTGGCCTGAAGACCAGATTTTATTGGATCCGTTTCTAACTTTGTAGATCTGGAGTAGAACTGAAAAAATAAAAACAAAAACTATTTTTTTTAAAGCACAGTCAGGCTTTGGAGCTATTTAGTTGCATAACTCTCATTATCTTTATTAAAAGAATAATGCCAGTTGGTCAGAAGGAGCATCATATTTAGGCAATGGGCAAGCAACACTATGATCCTGAACTCTCTCATGAGCAGTATTTTTGGTCAAAGAATATACCACCAACTCCTTGATCAGCATGCTCCTGGAGGCCAGAGACAGGGTCTTCTTCTTGTTTCTCCCCACAGTACCTAAAACCATTTTCTGACATGTGTATGGTAAAGCATCAATAAATATTTATTGAATGAGTATTTTTGAATGATGTGGACTCATCTCAGAATGAAGAATGTCCTTTAGAAATATTTTCATTCTGATGTGTATTCCATTAAGTGGCAAAGACGCAATTCCTTTTCAGGTCAAATTCATTCCTTGTCTGGGTATGTTAGCCCATTTCTTCAGTACAGATGACATTTCTTAACCATTTGCTCAACAAATATTGTTTCCTGTATATACCAGATGCCATTCTAGAAATAACATAAAGCAGATAAAGTGTGCATTCATGGAGCTTCCCCTCAAGAGAAAATGACCAGTAATTAACAAACTTACGTGTAGAGATACAGGGTGTTGATAAATGGTAAATGTTAAGAGGGTTGAACTAGAGGCAAAGGGAAGGGGACATCAGAACCTGGAATGTAGCTGGTTAGGGAGGCTTCTCTTTAAAAGGGAACATTTGAGCAAAAAGGTCAAGGAAGTGAAGGAGTAAGCAGTGCGTGTATGTGGGAGCAGAGTGTCCAGGGATGGATCCACAGGGTGGGAGCGTGCCTGTCAGGGAAGCCAGTGAGGTAAGAGAGTGAGGCAGAGGCAGAGGTAGGGCAGCACGCGCAGGCCCTAGAGACTCAAGGAGGACTTCACACTTGCAATGAGTGGGGAAGTCATTGGAGGTTTTAGGCAGAGAAGGGTGTGGTCTCATTTAGGTTTTAAAGGGTCACTTGAGTTGCTGCGTTGAACACAGACTATTGTAAAGCAAATGTAAAAATAGGGAGACCGGTTCAGTAGGCTTGTGGAGGAATGAGTGCAGATGGTCTGGCAAAATATTTCCTCATAAGTTTTAAATTGGATTTACAGTTCTACTCACTAGGCTTGAAAACCATTTTCCTTTAGCTAGTATTTTACTCAAATATAGCTTTAATTGCTATAGTCACAATGGTAATTATTCCCTAAATGTGATAAAATATATCACTTTTTGTAGGTTAGTTGATTACCAGTTGCTAATGCCTTACATTTGTAGAGTGTTTGGCAGTTTTAAAAGCAATTTTATATTCAGTGTCTCTTCTAACCCTCACAGTTCTTTAAGATTGATACACTATTCTCTTCTTAGAAACTAAAATATCACATGGTAAATCCAAAGTCATATGCCAAGTTTGTGGCAGAGTCCAAAAAAACTAAAACCCAGGTCTTCTGTCTGGCAGATTGAATCCACTGAATTTGTTTAAAGAGTTATATTCAAATTATGCCTCAAGATATTACTGGGAACGAGAGCATTTATATTAGCAAATTTAATAAATTGTTTAAAAAAACCATTAACCAGTGAGCAAGATACTATGCCCAGAAGGAATACGTTCTAAAATGTAGGAAGCATTTTCCTACCCTACAAACTTACTCCTTGGAGTGACGATACCTGTAACAGATCATCTAGTAAAATGTGATATGCTCAGTTCCAAATAAATGGTAAGGACAGCAGATGGTGCAACCATTCAAAGGAAGTCATAATTTTAGTGGCCTGAGAAAAAAGTCTAGTAGTTTGGTTTTTAGGGCAGCAGGGAGGCAGGTCCTTGAGATGAAGGATGGGCAGGATTCAAGTAGTCAGAAAATATGAAGAAAGGGTTTATAAACCAGGGACTAGGAGGGAAATGATGAAAACAGCATGAACAAGGCTCAACAATGGCATTTTTACTTTGAGGCACAGTAAAATTTGGTTTGAGAATGACTGGATATCTAGTACTTTTATGTGTACTCCTACAAACAGGGGTGGAGAGAGGAATGTGCAAACACTATGCCGAGGCTTTTCTTAGAGCTGAATAGTACAGCTACTGCTGGACAAATACACTCGCCTTTGAGAATATAGTCTAGCAGTTTGGTTTTTTATTTTTTCTCTCTACTGATCAAGTGTGTGTCTCTAATTAAAACTAAATATTTGCTTCTTTGAACATACCTTATGATTTCCATGTAGCTCCCTCTAGGAGCTCAAAATAGTTGTTCATGATCTGTCTCCATCTGGTGTGGTAGCTTCAGAGTATGTTAGGATGTCAGTATGTAAGACAGCCCGTTTTTTTAAAGAAAAATACTCAAAAGTTGAGGGCCTATAATGAGAATTAGATTTGGAAAAGAAGACAAGGCTACGTAGAATTTAAGATTTGTTTCAGTTCAGCAAACATGGATTGTGTGTGCTGTGGCTGTCTGTGATGTGCTGGGCTTACTACGGGGGCACACTGGAAAACATGACCCCATTCTTAAGGAGTAGGTGGGGTTATGCCCAGTATATTTAACTTCCTCCTTAAGGAAAGAAATGATGTAGTGAAAGTGGTATATTTAAGGTTTGGTATGACAGTGGTGTAAGAATGATATTGAAATCAGGAAAAGCTGGAAGTTGAGAGACCAGCTGATAAGAGAGTTTATGCCTATCCCAGCACATCAACTTGTCGTCAGAGTCCCCCCAGTGTGGTCACAGTGTGTGTCATCTGAAGAGCATACCACAGACACACGTTCTACAATTGACCCCACATCACTGAAATAGGATATCAACATAAAATAGTACTTTGTGCTCATGGTTTCCATCCATTTATTCACTCGTCCATTCAAAAAACATTTATTAAGCACTTACATATGCCCACCACTCTTCCAGGGGCTGAGGATACAGTAGTAAATAAAGGCAAAATCCGTGCCTTTGTGGAGTTTACGTTCTGGTGTCAGGCCACACTGAGTAAGAAAATGCCAGCATACCGCCTGTCACATAGTAAAGAGGGTTTAATAGTTCAGTTACTGAGTTTGAAGTTGAAATTTGAATTAAATACCTACTCTTGGCAAGATACTGGCTGGGGTACCTTTTTGCAAAGTGGAGGGTTGGGGCAAATTAACTCATTCATGAATAAGTGTTGAAGTGTTATATCAAAAAAAGTATGAATCTCTTGTTCAGATTTGAAGTAGTTACAGTTACACACTGTATTAAATATAACCAGTTGTCTGCCTTAGACCATTTTTGCCATTAAAGATGAAGTGTCAAAGCAGTTTCTGTGTACCATAAAAGTGGTGTGCTCTTGTCTTACTTGGATGGTTTTTGTGACCTCCCTGAATTCCAGAAAAGGCTCATTGTTGTTGGTGAGGCTGCTTCACAGAAACCCTTTGTGTCATGACTTACCACTGACTGCCTTGGTGAAAAGTATGTCAATCCTTTTGTTAAGTATAATAGCAGTCAAAAATGATGTCAGGGAAGAAAGGGATAAAATAAAGGCTGATGGGTGCGTGCATGTGCACACATACACACATCTTTTACGTCAGTTTCTGAACATTATCTGAAGTTGCATTTGTCGTGGGAAACACAGGAAACAGCAACAGCACATTCATTTTCTCATTGTTTCCTTCGGATGTGACCTGTTACCAACAACATAGGAGTGATTTTTTTTTCTTTGTTGGCTTCCTTTCAACCTTACTACCAAAGATAGACGGGATAGCTTTTTGGTTACACAATTTGAGTAAAGCTAATCATTTTTGTGCAGATTCTTGGCAAGAAAATATATATATATATATATAATATATAATCATACACACACACACACACACACACACGATCCTGAAAGACTGGGTATAGGATGATGGGTATATTTACTATTGTCAGAAGCCAAGATTTGATTTGACTTTCACTTGAAATAAACCCTTGCTTCTGTAGAAACCAGGAATGGGTAGAAGTGGGGAACCTTACGTTTTGCCTCCAAATAAAATGCTTGCATTAAATTTGTGATTCGAATTTTGGGTGAGCAGATGATGTCATTTTCTGCAGTGTGGTATGGTGTGTGTATGTGTGTGTGTGTGTGTGTGTGTGTGTGTGTGTGTGTGAGAGAGAGAGAGAGAGAGAGAGAGAGAGAGAGAGAGAGAGAAAGAGAGAAAGCCTTTAAAAACCAGCAGCCCTGTGGATACAGAATGGGTTATGCAAGCTTTTCTGGTCTCTTTTAGATGTGAAGCCCTCCAACATGCTAGTAAACACAAGAGGCCAGGTCAAGCTGTGTGACTTTGGAGTGAGCACTCAGGTAGGTCTCTTTCCTCCCAGTGTACTCTCCCCTCTACAACATTCACTTTTTCTTTTCAATCTGCTGTCTGGGTTGAAAAATCACCTTGCTGCCAGACAAACAGAAACCGCATCCCTTCCTCGGCTGGGAGTGTGTTATTCATTTTTAATCTCTAAGCGAGTTTCCCTCATCAGAATATGATTGTTCATTGTTTAATGACAGTAAAAACTGCTGATATTGTAATTACTACTTACGAATAGCAAACTTCATTGATATGCAGCTTTGATATGAAAGCGTTTGGGCCAGACAAAAGGGAGGGCAGGGTGGAAGCTGTGCCAGGGGAGCCCAACTGGCCCACAATAAAAATTAATATTGGGAGCAACAATGGTGGAGGGCCATTACAATGTGCAGCACAAATTTTAATTAATTTCCATTTTGGGCCTCCCCTGAGAACCCCGGTGATAGTGACCCATGAGCGTGCTGTGATGTTGATTTGAATTGCAGCCACCTTTACTCCCAGCCAAACACGAAGACCAAAGCGAAGGTCATCGTTGTATTATGAGTTGTCAAAGTCTGTTATCCCTCCAGCGTATTTAGTGTTCATTTCATTCTAGTAATGCATGGGGCTTCATTCACATCTTGAGCCATCTGACTAAAAAATGAATGTGTTCAAATTCTACTTCAAATTGACTTTTTATATCAGGCGGGTTTGGGGTACTAAAGCGATAACGCATCCTGCTTAAGTGAATTGTTTAAGGTTATCTGCTATAAACTGGAATGCTGTGCTTGTTTAAATTGGAAATCACATTCAAAAGAAAGGAGAGATTTAATCATTTTTAATGCCTTTGTAGATAAATTTGTTCTCTTTTACATAATTTTTAGTTGATTTATAGGAATGATGATTGTAGGTTAAATGAGGAATAATTGCCCATTTTATTTCCACATTATCTTTATATTGTTCTAACAGACTGTTTTGTCTCATAGCTGGTGAATTCTATAGCCAAGACGTATGTTGGAACAAATGCTTATATGGCGGTAAGTAAACTTATGCAAAAATAACATTTAAAACCAACATCTTTATCTTTATGTACTTGGTAATGTATAATTCTCGAATTAATTCCACAGCTTTAGCCTAGCAGATCATAAATTACAAAGTCAATCCAGTCAGGATCCAATTTTTAAATCTTTCCAAAATGCATGAGGGACTGCAGGGGAGCTATCAACTCATCTGACTCTGCTGACTTAACTAGTTGGTTTAAGTGTGAAATTGCTGAGTTTTGAAGTTTAATCCTACAGAAAAAAATGCACATTCTAGAATACTGGCTGCTTATCCGTGTTGCTTACTTAATTAATCCTAAAATATGCCAAGATGTCAGTCAATAAGGTCGATTATTTTTTCCAGGAATACAGACATGCTTTGTCACCAGATCAAAATGAAATTACTGAGTTAGTTGAGTTTTACTTCTAGATCGCTGAATGTGAGGGTTAGCAGTCCAGTCTCTTTAGAACTTGTACCTATCTATTTTGTTTAGATGTTGGATTCATGCCTGTTATAAGACAACTTTAAATTTGTAAAAATAAAAGGTAGGAGCACAGAGCTGTTTCAAAGATCAGTGTAGTTTGGCTCAGACCTGTTTTTCTTGCCTTTTAAGTAAGGGAAGTATTCATGTCCACAAAAATGTTTTAGTATATTGGTTTGGAGCTAAATTTTTGTTTTAACATTTTAGGATTAATTTTCTTTTTAATGAGAGCTCTGAATTTACTTAGGTTCTCCCTTTCAGTTCTGATCACTTAGGTTTATATATCATGTAGTGCAGAATTTTAGTATGGATAGAACCATGGCGATTATGCTCAATGTTCTTAGTTCATGTTATCTTTTTGTGGGGGGCGGGGGAGAGATTGAATCCAGGGGTGTTTAACCACTGAATCACACCTCCAGCCCTTTTTATATTTTGTTTAGCGACAGAGTCTCACTAAGTTTCTTAGAGCCTCATTAAGTTGCAGAGACTGGCTTTGAACTTGCAGTCCTCCTGCCTGAGTCTCCCGATTTGCTGGAATTACATGCATGTGCCACCAAGCCCAACTCATATATTATCTTGATTAAAATTCTTTAATATGGATGGAACCCAGGATCTTATTCTCAGAACAATAGGGAGCATTTTTTTTCACTCAAATATCAGAACACTTTACTTTTGTTTCGCATTGTTTTTAAAGAAAATTATTCCCTGTTATTTTTCTGAGTAATTTAAAGAAAAAATGAATTCACCTATGAAGTCATCATATCTGGTTTTATAAAACTTTGTCTCTTTCCTGGCTACCCCAGGTTGGATGAAATTGGTGAACCGCCTTTGTAGCTAACAAAGCCCTGCTGATGCTATAGTCTCAGTCTTTGAAAGAATATGAAACACTGTGATTAAAAAAAAAAAAAAACTATAAATGAAACAACTTCTCAACCACCCATCATGTTCTTAGTAGCTTTAAATTGCTCAAATAATTAAATTGCATTATATTTGAATGTACAAATCCAGCTTACTGTTGTCTTTCCCAGGTGTACATTAAAGAAATTACTTTTTTCCTTTTTGTTTATGGATGAATGTGATGCGTCCATCTGTTAATTGAAAATGTGAGGATTAAAATTATGAAACGTTAGCTCAGGTTGGCAATGCTGAAATTGCTTTGCTTCTTGGGTGAGTGAATTCTAGTCATCAACTTTATAGTAAAAGCTATAAAAAGCAGAAGTTACCTAGGAAGAAAACAGAGATAACCTGAGAAGGAGAGCTGGGCTTAATTCAGTAGGTTCTCATTGGCCAAATACTTACTGAAATTGCATCAGATCACAAAGGCTGGGGGTGAGGAACATGGAAATAGCCTATATTACTCTAGTACAGGTATTAATCCCCACCTAGTATCTGCTGACAGTCTCCTGAGGAAGAAGGGCTGGTGTGGTTTTTGTTTGTTTGTTTGTTTGTTTGTTTGTTTTTTAACCACAACTGGATTCCATTTCAGCTGGTCCATTTTATCATTTTAAGTTCCACATGAGCAACTATGCAAAGAGTTAGCGAACTACACAGGTCATTGGCCTGTTTTGTAAATAAAGTTATTGGAATGTGGCTGCAGCCATTTGTTTTTATTTTGTATGTATTTGATATGGCTGCAGTGGCAGAGCTGAGGATTTGTGACAGTTGCAACAGAGAACATATAACCCACAAAGTGAAAAATATCTATTGTCTGGCCCTTTACAAAAAAAAAAAAAATCACCAGTCCCCTGTCTATGTCAGTGAAAGTGTATCTGAGTCTGAGTACCTTCAGTTAATCACCCAGTGCTCACTGAGCACCTTCCATTCTGTCTGTCAGGTACTTTGGAACTACTTGGCAGTCCGCCTAAGATTTGGGCAAGATAGCAAACATGACCTCATATATAGCAGCATTGTCTATGGCCTGACAAGGACTTAAGCTATTCTAACATACATTTAGAAAATAAGAGGGCATGTAATGTACAGATTTGAGGATTCAAACAGGATGCAAAAAGGGCACTTAGAACTAAGATCACTGAGGAAAGATAAACATTAAGACTCAGAAACAGAAGGCAGCATGGAATCTGTGGGGGTGGGAGGTGGGGTAGAGGACAAATAATAAATTGTGGGAATGTATAATTAGAGGTCATCTGATGTAATGATGGAATGCCCTCCATTTCCCTCACTTTGTATTCATGTGTACTTCTGTATGGTGGTAATAACATTATTAATAATAGCTAGCACTTAATTAGCACTATGTGCCAATCATTCTTCTAAGCTCTTGCATGTTAACTCTTTAAATCCTCACATCAACCCTATTAAGTAATAAGATTATCATTTTCATTTTACAGATGAAGAAATTGAGGCGAGAAAAGTTACGTGACTTACCCAAGTTCACACAGCTAATAAGTGGCAGTTAGAATTCATAGCTAAGTGATCTGCCTCTAGAGGCTAACTTTTAATTGCTGTACCTCTCAACATTTCAAAATTATCTGTCTCTCTCTCCAGTCTATATTATGAACTTCACAGGGGCAGAGTTTATTCTTTTCACCCTCTCTACCTGTCCTTCACACAATGTCCAATGAATGAGTTAGTTCATGACAGCTATAATCTAGAAGTATCTTGTTCCCTAATAACAAGATGAGAGCACCCAACTTTTTGTATTAAAAAATCTTATTTACATATTAAAGTATTTGAAGACCCCCGATTGTTTAAATACAACCAGGTAGACCATTCAAATGTTTAAAAGAAAATAAATCAGAAAGAAATAGCTCTGAATGCTCAAACAGTATCACTTTATTCTCCTATACCCTTGAGTGTAAGATACAAGAAAAATAACAATAGGAAAAAGGAAGACTTCTCTAACATCCTAAGTCATCTAGACAACAACTCTAACTGTTAAGCAGCAGAGCTTGTGGGAGGTTTTGAAAGTCATCATGATCAACCTCCCCACTGACCGTGAGGAGTTGGAGACAGAGACCTGCAAAGTGAAATGTTCTGTTCAAGGAAACATGCTTTTTAGGGGACAAATAATGTAGGTTCAACAGACTCTTTCATGCAAAACATGAAAGATTTGCAACTACATTTTAACAGTATTTCATCCAGAAGGATGTCAAAGGAATCCAGAAGCTTTGGAAGTTATTATTAAGTAAAACTATTTCTCAGAAATTCTAATTACTAAAAATTTATTCTAATCTTAAGACAAAAGTACCTAAATTTTAACAAACTATTCTGTAGTCATTAAAATGTGATATTATTAGTATTTTGAAATTTAAAAAAAAGTCACACAAATGCTTATTCTTTGGAATCAGAAAATAAGTCTATTTTCTATATGACTATTCTTATATCCTGAATCCCCCCCACAACCACTGTTCAGGCTGTTCCCATCCTTAGAAATATCTTTACCTGGAATAAAACTTATAAAGATCATGTGCTCTGACTCAGGTGGCCATGCTCATGTCGTGACAGGAAGGGTAGGAGTGACAATTAGGAAAAAGCTAGCATTTACTGAGGGTTCCCAGATGGCACAAACTGAATCAAGCATGTTACGTGGATTCATTAATCCTCACACGACCCCATAGTAGAGAGCTGTTGTTATCATCTCCACTTCACAGAGAACCAAAGGTGAAATAACTTTAAGCCCAAGGTCTCGGAACAGCACCTAGTGAGAGGCAAGATTTAATTAGGGCAGCAGCTTCAGGTTTCGATGGATGGCAGGTTAGGTTACTTGGATCAAGTCTTCTGTTCAAAATGGCTAGTTTGAAAAAAAAATTAAACCATTTCAGATGCACTGAAGAGCTAAATGTACAGGAATTCTCGGGACAATTTTTGAGTGAAATCTCACAACAGAGAGGAATGTAGAATGTCAGAGCGCTAGAGCTGTTTATTCCTGAGGGCCTTCACCTTATTTTACCACTTTAACACACTCGGTAAAGGCAGTGATCAGGCTTCAGGGCCCACCTAAGACTGAAGGTCTCAGGAGATCTTCCCCAGAGATCCTCCCCATTTTCATGCTGAAGAGGGTCACCATCGGTGATCTAAAGCTGTTCCTCCTCTGTAGCCCCAGGGAACTGAAAAAGAGGCCTTTCAGAGAGAAGCAGGAGAAGAAAGAAAAATGGAAAAGGTGGGGTCAGTACTGGAATGTTGTATTGTAAGCAGAGTTATGGAACTAGTTAACTGGTTAAATGCCCAGTCACAGAGTGGCTAGGGGGAGGAGTGTGAGTTCCAGCTTAAAGCCGCTGTCCTAGAAGAGCCATTGTAAATTTGCATCTTAGATCATCACCATACCTTGCTCTTCTCAAGAACAAGCCAAGGTTTTTGTTTTGTTTGCTCTTTACTTCAGCCTCAGTACAGAGGTACTTCTCAGGAAGTCATCTTATCACTTAGCTTTTTACACTGTTGACAGCTGTCATGTGAGAAGGTAACCGCAGCCTTAGCTTTTTAACTGCAAAATATCCATCACAGATCCTCTGTCATCCGTGTTGTACATGGTGGCTGGTTTTGTTTTGAGAGGACAGTTCAGACCGCCTTGGTTCAAGTGTGAGACCAAGGACTAGGCGTGCAGGGCAGTGGTTGAGCATTTGCCTGGTATGCACGAGATCCTGCATTCAGTGCCCAGAACCACAAAAATATAATGAATAAATAAATAAAGCATGAGACTAGCTTTGAATTCAGCCTTAGTTCATCAGATCTTAGCTCCATATATTCAGAATGTTTTGGGCTCATCTTCTACCTAAATCAGTTGCAGGGCCCTGGGCATGTTGCAAGTCTGTCTACCTATGCAAGCTTTAGAATAAGCCCACAGAGCTCACTACTTGCTTTTGCTGAGCATTCTTGCTCAAGCACATCATCACAACAGTAATCTCATTTTGTTAGCTTATTGCAAGGATAATTTTTCCAAGAGGTTATCAGAATCTCATCCTGAAGGAGTTCTCTTATTTGTTACCTGATATCTATGAACATTATCACTTTTTTCTTATTTAATTTTATATGTTTTTTAAAAGAGATTCCTTCTTTTTTTTTAATGGGCCTTTATTTTGTTCATTTATTTATATGCTGTGCTGAGAATTGAACCCAGTGCCTCACACATGCCAGGGCGAGCACTCTACCACTGAGCCACAGCCACAGCTCCTCTATGTTTTATTTTTCACCTCTCAGTTTGCATTTGTTTTGGTAGTTCAGTGGGCAAATTTGTGGGTATATTTAATCTAATTGATAATTCTGCAAGAATATTTTGTATTCACGTTCCAATTCTATTTGTATGTTTGTTTCTTCTGTATTCTGGATGAAGTTCTGTGTGTTGCTAACTATTCAGGCACTGGAAGAAAGAAATGGAGAGAAGAAAGAAAAAAGACCAGGGAGTAAGATTGCATTTGATTATTTCTTGAACAATTCTAGAAGGTGTTAGGATTTTCATCTTTGCTATAAGTTATTGATGGAAATAAAAAGCTATAATGTTTGGGGAAGTTACATTAGAATTCTCTGAGGATCTTAATTATGAAGTTCATTCTTAAAAACAAATGTGCAGTGAACATGTTTTGCACCCTTCCAGTCAGCATGCATGACTGTCACGTGCCAGCTGTGGCACAGGCATGAGGTAAATGAGACACTCTCTTTGTCTCTGAAGGGAAAGAGACTAGAAAATGGGCGATTATAACACAGTATGATAAATAAATGTTAAAGATATGAATCTCAGTGAAAACAGAGACAGGACTTGGTAGTTCTGCCTAAGAAACAGAGAAAGGTTACACAAACAAAGGTGGCCCTCAAACAAGGTCTGTACAAGGTAGAGTCACTAAGCAGAGGAGGAGGAAGGTGGAGGCACTGCTTTTCCAGAAATCTTTTTAGTGGCTGGAGTTGAGGGTACTAAAGAATCACCAGATAAGAATTTTTAAAAATGAGATCTCCAGGCCCTCACACAGAGATTCTGGTTCAGGAAATTCATTTGTGGTGAACACCTGTGGTGGTTGTTTGGCAGTTGGTCCAAAGACTGAATTTTCAGAAATGCTCACCAGATTGAAACTAGTTCTTGGCTCCACTGACTTTTAGTTCTGGGGAAGTTTGACACTCTGAAAAGAACTCTGATTTTTCAGTCAGAAATAACTGGGTTTGAGCCAGGAGCAGTGGCTCACACCTATAATCTCAGCAACTCGGGAGGTGAGGCAGGAAAATCACAAATTCAAAGCCAGCCTCAGCAATTTAGAGGCCCTAAGCAACCCAGTGAGATCCTGTCTCTAAATAAAATACAAAAAAAAAAAAAAGTGGAGGTCTGGAGATGTGTCTCATTGGTTAAGTGCCCTTGAGTTCAATCCCTGGTATCCCCCCAAAAAAAGAAAAGAAATAACTGGGTTTTTAAACCTAGTCCTGCTCCTGAACAATCCATTTAATGCTAGCTAATCCACAGCTTGAGGCTTGGACAGTAATAATATCAGGGATGATAATAGTACAAATCTCATATGAATGTGAATCTGAAATGAGATTATGTAAAAGGGCTTAAAATGGTGACTGGATGTGGAAATTCTTTAGTAAATTTACATAATGGTAATGTTGATGACAGTGATGATGACAATAATGATGTTTGTCCCATAACTGGCTAGCCACTTCCAAAGGAATACATCCTAATACCGATCGAACTGGTTAGAATTGGATAACGAGATATGATCCATTATCCAGTATTGATCCCAGCCCTGCCCATTAGCTGTGTAAGTTTGAGCAACTGCTTCACCTTTGTGGGAACTCAGTTTCTCTTACTCATTTGTTAATGTGTTCATTTCAGACATTCTGTAAGTACCCTACTGAATGCCAAATCCTAGAGGGATAGCTTAGGAAGCCCCACTCAGTATAAAATTATTTCTGTTGAGGTAGAGTATGCATGTAGCAGGTTTCTAAACCAGGTGTCTCTACACATCTTGAATGGAGGACCAAATGTCCCAAGTGGAATTTCCAAACTATTCCTTGATTCGTATCAAAAGAAACCCTGGTAAGTGAAATAAATCATTGAACAGTTGGTGAATCTAGGAAAAGGAAATGTAGATGTTTTTTACACTAGTCTTATTTTTTCCCCTTCCCTGTAACTTTGAAATTATTTCCAAATTAAAAAAAAATCAAAATTTTCTAAACTCTAGTCTTCAAGACTTATCTACCAAAATGTAAGTAAATAGTAATATTGTATAATTTTGTGTAATTTGTCACTCCTCAGTTAAGACTACTAGACTTGGAGGGAGAAGACCTGGGTTTAGGTCTCAGCTCATTTGCTAGTTTAGGTGGCTGCCATAGTAATTCACTAATTGGAACTTTGATCTTCTTTATTTGTGAAATAGGAATAATATTTTTTTCCACAGAGACTGTATAGAGGATCAAGAAAAAAATATACATATATTATATATATATATAAAACATATACTCATACATATATATCTCTATAAATGCATACATATATATGTACAGAAAGAAAATTTCTACATATTCTCTATATAATATATACATGTACATATACATGAATGTGTGAAATTGTTTTGCTGGGCAGATATTGGAGGCTTCCCATCTTAGCCGAGCTTGTGTTCAGTTTATGTTTCCTGAAGTAACTTAGATCAGCTCACAGACTCCTTTCTGTTTTCTTCCAGCCTGAAAGAATTTCAGGGGAGCAGTATGGAATACACTCTGATGTCTGGAGCTTAGGAATCTCTTTCATGGAGGTATGTTGTTGCTACAACCAGATACTTCTGTGAATGTCTGTGTTAATATGTTCTATCAGGAGGAACAAAATAAAATAAACCTTCAGTGTGTTATGTATATATGTAAGAGTTTGACTCTCTAAAGTTCTTACTTATTTCGATATTGAACTGTCTTTGGGTAATTCTAAAGCACTATTTCTCATAGATTGCCTGTGTAAGAAATATCCAAAGTGCTTGTTAAAAATACAGGTTCCCCAGCCCCATCCAAGACTAGTTAAATCCCAATCTCTTAAGAATCTGCACGTTTAAAATGTTCTCTGGGTGAACCCCATACCCACTAATTCTGGAGAACCTATATGCTAAAAGAGGGATTCCATTAAAATGCTATGTGATGCTATCCTGTTCGAATATAACACCCCAAGCTACAGCCTACTTACTTGGATGTACAAGTCCTTTGTATTTGTTTTTTTTAAAGGGAGGAGGGGGGGACACCTTGTTCCAATATAGTGCTATCACATTTTTTGGGGGGGGCTGTAATGTGATGGGTGTGGAGGGACACATGTATGTAACATAATTTTATGTCTTTACCCTTCATTGCTGTATTTAGAATGGACTTTATCTTAGTATGGTAGGTACAGCCCCACTAGATTTCTATGCTGAGGTCTATAAAGTGACCATATGACTTATATTAGAAGGACATGTGGTTCAATTTGAATTACAGTATTATAAAACCCAGGTATTCTCCAGTGCTTCAAGATTATTTCTCAACTACATTGATTGAGATAAAGGAAGACTTTCTTAAAAGTAGAAAGGAGTCTTTAAGTAAGACCATAGAGTTGCATTAACAATTTTATCACCTTTTTTAGGTCAAATACTTTTTCTGTGACTTTTTGTAATGCATGAATTCCATTGCATATATAGGGAAATATCTTTATAGACTTAATTCACCTGCATGGTAGAAAGAAAGCAAAAATAAAAGGTTCAGTGTTTATACTAAACCTTATTAATTCTGTTTCTCTATAAAAGGGAGTCAAAGAAGAAATACAATATTTGTGCATCAGCTCAGAGGTTAGCCATAATGGTGGATGGATCTCAGGACTGTCTCCCAACAGAATCCTGAAGGTCTTGTTCTAGCTTTCAGTGGAAAGTAGTTCTTTTGATTTGTGGGACTCAGGTCTTGCCATTATATAATTTCCTTTTGCATATTTTAAAACATCATCACTGATTATATTTTATAAATGACCAGATAGAGTGTAGAACATTGAGAGGTTACATGATATAGAGATGAGCATCCCAGGCTGGAATGGAAGACCGTCTCATTCCATGTAGTCATATCACACATGTATGTGGGGTGGGGTGGGGTGGGGCAATATGCAGTTCCCGCTTTGCTACTAGTTTCCTTCATCTGTAAAATAAGATCTTTAAGACGCTTTTTAGACTAACTCCACTGCTGCTCATTCTGCTGTTTTTCCTTAACTTTCACACAACTGTAGAGCTATTTGACTAAGAAGGGGCTGTACCCTGGCATGGCTTAGCCACAGGGGCATAGAATACTGTAAGAGAGCGTCACTGA